ACTCTCTCACACACACACACACACACACACACACACACACATAAGGAAAAGCACCCATCACTAGACTTGCACAATATCTACATCCACAGAATTCCCCTTATATATTGCAGATTAAATATTTCAGTTGACAATGCTTTCAGTTGCTGATAAGTGTTCTCAGCTCACTTTAAAACCCCATGAAAGTGCTTGACAAGCACCGTTTTCTTTCCTGTACTGATGTAATTCCTGCTGACGCTGTTGAAAAAAAACAGCATATGCTGGTTAGGTATGTTTTGAAGCATGGCTGCTGGTTTGCGCTGGTTTAAGCTGGTCGTTAGCTTGTCATGAGCTGGTTTAAGCTGGTCATGTGCTGGTCCTAAGCAACTAGCAACACATGCTCATGACCAGCTAAGGACCAGCTTAAACCAGCTCAAACCAGCAGCCATGCTTCAAAACATACCTAACCAGCATATGATTGTTTTCAACAGGGGAAACAGGATTGAAGGGCTTGTCTTTAAGCAAATTAACTTGCTACTTGAAATTAATTAATTAAGTTCAACTGTATGCGGTAGTGATGCTCGGATGGCGGTTTTATCCGCGGGCACTGCGGATAATCCGCGGATCGGGTGGGTCGGGTAATATTTGTGATTGCATTCTGATTATTTGCGGGTGGATAAAATAAATCATTAATGATGCAAGTATTAACTACATTTTCTAAATTATGAACGTGTTTTAAATAGACTACAGAAATTTAATAAACTATAAATTAACATTAAAAGTTATTCAACAAAACATTATTTAGTCAAGAGCAGTAAGGGATTTTCTCTGTCTTTTGTTGTTTGATTAACATTAATAAAAGACGGCACAGCTTTATTAGGCTGCTGTCACAAGACCTATTTCCCGGATCCAATACTGATACCCATGCGTTTTATTTTGCAACTGTTTACATTAACTTAAAACAAAACCGACAGTACGTTCTCAATCTGGTATTGGAAGAGTGAGAGTACCGAATGGCTTAAAAATAAATTTGTGACGATGCAACAATGACCGATTAGGCTATTGACAATTCTGTCAACTGTCCCGAAACGCAAGCTAAAGTCTTCTGTCGCAGAGTGCAGCAGCTCTAGATGCGTCGATGTGAAGCGAAAGTCAAAGAGAGAAGACGCGGTACAGCTGAATCACTCACGCTGTTTTCATCTGATGGTTTGTGTGGATTTATTTACTCATCTAACCTACACGCTAAATTGAGGTTTTGCAGTAATTTCCCTCATTTTAAAGTCGAAAGCTGCGGGAGTGAGTAATGCAATGTATGCGCAATCCCGCAACGAAATTCAGGATCTGATTAAACATAATTCTATTATACAGAGACTTGTGAAATGGATTTTCATGACTTTTCAAAAACTTCTAGGCCTGGAAATTGCTGTTCAATGACTTTTCCAGGCTTTTCATGACCGTACGAACCCTAATGTGATGATCGGGTCGGGTGCGGTTATCTAAATCAGACAAAAATACAGGTGCGGGCGGTTGGCGGGTGGATAATTTATTTGAAGCTGCGGATTCGGGTGACGTTTTAGCTCATCCGCACATCACTAGTATGCGGTGTTGTGTATTTTTACGACTTTAGAGCCCCCTACAGTTCAGAGCGTGGAGTTCTCTGTGGTGAACACACCACTGTGGTCATGACAGTCCATAGCTGTTTATGTGCATTTGTTGCTGTCGTAAAGCAATCTGCCCTTTTTGCAGAGGTTCGGGAAAGAAACAAGCCATTCACCATATTAGAGTTAGTTTTTCATCAGAATGATTCTGAAACTGATATTTCAAGGTAAAAAAAACAGTTACAGTTGCTTTAAGTGTGTTTTGTTTTGTTTTGTTGTTCTTTTTAAGAGTCACAGTCAGTGTTATTATCGTTAAATAAAACTAAACAATAAAAAAATGTCATTACTTGAAATAAGATAAACATTAACTGAAATAACAATATATAAATATATATAAACATATTTATGTTGATGTACTAAAACAATGAAATAAACTTTAACTAAAAACTACTAACTATTTAGACATTAAAATATCCAAAAGTCTAAATGAAAAAAAAATGACTAAAACTTTGACTAAAATTAAAAGTGAAATGGAAAACATAATAAAATCAAAATATTAACAAAAAATATATAATATGATAAAATATAATATGATCAGTCATACTAAAATAGCACTGCTCACAGTTTGTTCTGCTGTATTTCAAGCTGATAGCTGTGAATATGAATGTTGGATATATATTTAAACATTTCACATACAAATCATAATGACGGTGATTCGCAAATTGCAAAATAAAGGGAAAAGGTAGGTTCAGTAGGTTCACACCAGAAACCTGGTATTAAATCTAATTCAACTGTGAAAATAAACAAACTTTGCATTTTTGAAGTTTAAAACACGTATTATGATAATGATTCTGCACTATTTTAAAGTTTGTGATTATGTCATGACGGGATAACATGAATCGGCAGGTTTCGATACAATTTATAATTTTTTTTAAATTAAACTTTTATGGATGCCATGCATAACAACATGTTTAAATGACCACCCCTGGTTTACATCAAAGCTGTGAACCATCATTTGTTAATTACACTTGTTAGTCAAGAGGCATTTTATTGGACAGAAATTTAGATATATTTAGACATGGACTAAAAGGCACAAAACTCCCATTTTTATTTGTATTTTTTAAACATATCACCATAACATCTATTCTGCAGTTTTCACACCACAATTAGCAGAGATAATGTGTGTAGATTCTGTGTGGGTGTAGTTATATTTACACATACTGTATTGCTCACATTCATGGGCCTTTCAAAGAATAAAGGAAATAGAGATATAAATGCGCTGAGGAGCTAATACAGCATGCTGTAAGTGATGCCTAAATACATATGATTTATGAAGATCAAAGTTATAAAACCAATCCTAAAGAGGCTTGTGTAAATGTGCTGGCAAACTCCGTTACGCTTTGAAAGACGAAAAATCCTGATGCATACTGATAAAACACACACACACACACTCAAACACTGTTACCAATACATGTGCACCTGATATGTTACAAACGGCCTCCACTTCATTCCCTTACGCTCCTCTGTGCCTTAAAGGCCTCTAAGGTTTTAAAGCCCAACTCCCTCATCACCGCAGCCTGCCAACAACGCCGGCTTATTACTTTATCACTGTTACAACGGAGACCATCAGTATAAGCAGAGCTAACGTAAAGACTG